TCTTCTATTTAATTACAGATAAAAATAGCAGTCCTTTCTTCAGTGATTTTACAGTTGGTCCCTTTAACGAATTTTCAGACCACGCAACATTGTTTACTTCATTAAACTGTATCGAATGCCCTGACCTGGATGTCTGTACATGTGCACGTGCAGGCGGGTCCCAAACAACCAGGGGCCTGTTTCACGAAATTTTAACTAAAGATGAAATCTAAATTTTAGTAGATACTTCAATTTTGATTGGCTAAGCACTAAAATCAATCTAATATTATCTAATCAAATTACTAAAATTTGGATTTTATCTTAGTTAAAATTTCGCGAAACAAGCCCCAGGTCGATAAAACTTTGATAGAAAACACCGACGCATCCTCGGTATCCCCAGTGTACTCATTCCGTTGTACTCCACTATACTCTGGGGTAATCCATAGGGTTTCCTATTAAATTATCTGCCCTGGCCTTGATTGTAGCTATAGTCTACGAACCAATCAAAAAACAATTTACAAACCTGTCGTTTCGCCTTCGTTTTTATAAGGGTAGATAAACATATTCATGTCCAGATACTGAATGATTTATGTAAGTAATGTATAAATGTTCAATTCATTTATATTTAATTGTATTATCAAAATCTGTAGTATTTTTTCGCTGATTTCAAATATGTATAACATCTATATGTTTGATTTTTGTTATTATTATTACTATTCGTTCTTTGTCTAGAATGTTTCATTCTGTTATTTTTATTATTATTGAACTTATACTTGGCAATTTGATTCACTATAACTTGTATACGATATCAGGTGGATGTAAAATTCCACGAATGAACGAACGAACGAATCTCAATAAAATTCTTGAAACCTGCATAAACGTACGGTCTACATTAATATAATATTATATAATTTGATGTTAATAAATACGCATTTAGAATAATTTGGACTTCCCTAATTTAGACTAACTCCTAGTCTTGTCCGTTGAGAGTTACTTCCCTTTGCCAACTTCCTTTGCGATTAACGATTGATGAGATTGGTCGATAAAAATAGCACAACCATCAAGGGCGGATAACTTGAAAATTCTGCCCCTCCCACCAACATAGATTAACCCAGGGTTTAGTGGAGTAGAACGGAATGAAACCACTGGGGATACCGAGGATGACATCGACGCAATAAAAAGTAGCATTGGGCCTACTGTATCATGTGAGAAAAAAAACCCTGTAGAGCATGTTGTCTTTAATTTTTACCCCACATTGTCAAAAATTAACTAACAAGCGGGAGACATGCAAGCTTTGTAATCCTTATAAAAGTGGGATTATTTTTTAAAAATAAGCCATGGTTAGGGTGACCCGAGCTGAAAAAAAATCTCGAAAACTATTTACAGTTATGGCACTATATCTATATAAACAACAACCTTAGAAGATCCTTTATTAGAAACTGTCAAGAAACTGTATCTGCGTGCTATATTTCCTAAGATATATCCATTCGCATGTCCGTTAAAGTGTATCAAATAACAAGTTTGTGTTGAAATTTGAGTGAAAATCTACACATCACCTGTGTTCAAATTTATGAAACTTTTGTTGAAATTTATGAAACTTTTGTTGAAACTTTTGTTGAAATTTATGAAACTTTTGTTGAAATTTATGAAACTTTTGTTGAAATTGTGTTGAAATTTATGAAACTTGTGTTGAAATTTATGAAAATTGTGTTGAGATTTATGAAACTTGTATTGTTTCATACAAACTTGTGTTGTATTTTTCCATTTATGTCCAGTATAGATAGCAACATTTCGCATGCAGCACCCCTTCGTTTTGTTCTGTTTAAACTGCAATGTTTTTTTTGTTTTTTAATTGACATAACAATAAATTTGTTTGATAAATTATTTATTCATTAAATAATAGGACAAATCAAATAATACTGCCAGATCAATACTAAATAGACATCTGGAATGTTAATGAACAAAGTTAATACCAATACTAATAAAATTGTGTTATATAATGACAAAATGAAATACAATAGACATTTACAACATATTTACAAGGTTTAAAGTCATATTACAAGTGGTTTGTGAGGGGCATCTAGAAACAAGTAACATACATAGAATTAACCAAAGAAATATGCACTATTCTAGAATTTATAAATTGATATAGAACCTTCTCCTGATTTAAAAACAAATATAAAATGAAACTTGTACCTAAAAAGAGCACCCATGGAATAATATACAAGCACCAGGACCACAGGTTATTAAACCAGTGGCTTCCAGGCAAGAAACGCCCACATATTGCAAGAGATGGATAGAGAACAAGCTAAAGAGAATGAATAACTGCTTGCTTGTGTTTGCGATGGATATTTAAAATTAAAAACATTTTTTTTAAATAACAGGTCAAATGCAACAGATAACTTGATAGTTTTACAATCACTGTATTCTTTTCCAGAATTATAAAAAAATGAAGGTTTAATGTTTAAAATGTATGGTTGGGTTCTCTCGTTGTTGTTATCATATATCAAATAATCTTCCAAGGATGTTTCGTCCTGAAAGATGAAAAGTAGACTAAAATACACTTTCTATGGTAACAATGTTTAAATAAATAATTCGTTTTGCCACATAATGAGTGTCTATTTGGTTTCAACTCTGCATAACACCTTTTGAAAGTTTTGAAATTTGGGACTAAAATGGAAATTTTTACTATGGTTGCTTTGGAAATCTTTTACGTGTACCACCAATTTGTACACTTAACCATATTAACAAACAGCAATTATAAACTAGTGGTTCAAAAACTATTAAATAGACCAAGTATCTTTTCCATAGATTTACCCCAAACAACCCAAAACACCTTTAATTACCCAAAACACCCTGTATTTTGAATAAAACAATACATTTTTATAGTTTTTTCTTTCTTTTTATATGTATACATGTAGATGATTTAAAATATTGCCTAAACTTTCCAATTTGTTTTAATAGTTCTGAAAAAGCAAACAAATAAAAGATCAAATTAAGCAAGAAAGCCAACCCCTGTTGTTATCGTCATAGAAATATTTCTATGGTTATCTTATTGGTTGGAGATTTGTTTTTCGTTATACGTTTCTGGTGAAATATAAATCGGTAATGAAACATTTATAATACACTAAAATCTAATTAATAGTAACAACTCATTAAGTAATTATCAGATAAATCATTAAAATTTGTTTGGCTTCTAGTTCTGCCCCATGCTAACGTTTAGAATACAAAACATTTAATATCATGGATTTAGCTGTTCAAGTTATCAAAATTCATTGAAAATCAATATACTTATTCATCTCAAGACCTTAAACTCTGTGTATCAATCTAAAGTCAATCGGATAATAACTTTAGCCTCTAGAGAGTCCACAAGATATTTCAAAGTGATCAAGGGCCATAACCCTGGCAGTAATTATCGGAAATCGTTGAAAATCAATGGGCTTCTTCGTTTCATGACAGTGTGTATAAATTAAAAGTCAACGCGATATTAAACATACATTATGCAAGAGCTAAATCTGCCTATTGCAGGTCTTTCTTTAGGCCTGATATATTATCTAAATTATTAATTAGACATTAATTAACTTATCCAGACCATAATCAACTTTCCATGTCAACGCTAGCCTGCAATATTTACTCAATTAGGATCCGATTTGCTGCTCAACTTTCATTCGTGATTTAATCATGAAATGGGTAATCGAGACTATGTTTTTTTATAATACCGACTTTAGTAATGTTGATAGAGGCTAGGCCGAAAATTCAATCGCTAAAATTGAGTGGATCAATTTGACTGAAATTTTCAGCAAATCCTTTTTACAATATCTAGTTTTTGACTATTATGGTGAGAACTGCCAGCTCTTTATCTAATCTCCCATAATCTATCTTTAACTGTAGCATTCAGAGCCCCCACAAGCAATATACGACCACATTTCTATGAATAATAAGGCTGTTCATAAAATTAATTTACAGCTATGGTGTGCCTATAACTCTTTTTGTTCTTTAGAGTTTTCAACTTGATTTATGGTTCTCGGATTAATGAACTTCAACAATAACCTTTTTTTGCTTTTTGACTTTGTAGAACTTTAAAAGCTCGCAAACTAAAGGCAATTCACAAAATATTTTTGGTTCAAAATTCAAAAGAACATATTTTCAATTGATTTTCACTGATAAATTGCAGCAAAGATTTTATACAATCTTATATCACACACGCCTATAAATGTATACTAACTCTTTAATCTTAATGTAAACGCCCATCACATGCAACCATAAACTAAATGAATATTATATTTAATGGAAGTTTTGAAATTAACGTCAAGGTGACCCATTTAAAAACCAAACAGAAAGTGTTGATCTCCTAAATTTTACACCATCCTTCTCCTTACAATAAGGTTTTATTTTAATATTAAAAAGAGTACAATATAATAACAACTTGTATTATAAACAAACAGGGTCTCCCTTTCTTTATATTTTACTGTGATAATTCCCCATTGATAAACTTTTGTTATAATTATACATGTACATATAAATTCAAAGTGACATTGCTTCACTTTTTATGCAGGGATTGGCTGAGCAAAACCTTCATGATTTTTTCAAGACGGAGAAATTTGGCTAAAACAATTTTAAAATAGCGGCTGAACGGAGTGTTGGGAGGGGCGGTTTATTTTGGGGTTTTTTAGTAAGGAATTTAGGTTTCATTCCATTACGTACATATTTCATTTCTAAACCTACCGTTACGAACTCTCCAGACTATTTATATTCGGTTAAAAATAGAGATCGGCGTCGAAATTCGCCTAGTGTGTCCACTGTCATTCGGCCGAATTTCTATTCGGCCGAATGATTCGCCCGATCAAACAGGTTTGATATATTCGGCCGAATTATATTCGCCTGGTGTGTCCGCTTCGCCGAAGCATTCGGCCGAAGAAAGAATTCATTAGCCAATCACCACTCATATCGATAAGTCACGTGATAGATTGAAGACATAGACGCCGCCATGTTTAATCATGTGACGTGAAAGGTGACGCAATCGACAGGTTGAATCGGGCGAAGCATTCGGCTAGTGTGTCCACTCATTCGGCCGAATAAAATTCTGCGCCGATTGGTTCGGCCGAACGATTCGGCTAATGTGTCCACTGCTTAAGAAATAGAGAGGGGCCGATACAAAAAACAAAAGTCCTGCTGATCAGCCACCCGACCACCCGATCAGCTTTCCTGTAGCAAGTATGAAGAAATACAGGTAGATACAAAAGTCCTTGTTGTATATCAAAAAGTCACCTTAAAACAAACTTATAAAATCACTGTCATAATAAAAACAAGTTAAAATGCACGTGAACTTTTAAAGGTTAGTCATCTTCAACAGGGTTAAAACAGGCTTCTATGAAACAGATTGATCTTTGATTTAGTTGATTGCGCCTCGAGTGTGGCTGCACGTATAATATATACTATTCAAAAAAAGTAGGGGATATTTGATTTTGGGGGCATAATACTAAAATATGTAAATGACTACGAAAAAAGTCACTACAGAACCTAACAGAAGAAACATTTCCAGTTACATGTGACGCCCAAACGCACCAATAGCTACCGCATGGAATGCAGGTGATGCTTGGGATCATCATGGGGGTCCAACCCAAGATTTGCACGACTCTGACTTTGAATGTTACAGCCATTGTGGCATTGAATTCGAGGGTGGAAACATCAGTTTAATTGTTTTAGTGACCAGAAAACAAATTTTGATATGCGTCGGCTTACCCAAAATGAAAGGTTACGTGCCCTTGGCATGCTACAGATCGGCACAACACAGGCGGTTGTGGCGCGGACGATGAATGTTTCTCAGTCTGTCATAAGCAGGCTATGGTTCAGATACCGTGATACACAATCTGTACAGGACAGACAACGCTCAGGTCGACCAAGGGCGACAACTCAAGCCCAGGATCGATTTATCCGTACCTTGGCCTTGAGAAATCGTGTCATCACAGCAAATCAGATCAGCGCTCGTCTTCAAACAGACACTGGTGTGAGAGTGAGTGGCCAGACGAGTCGGAATCGACTGCATAGGGGTCACCTTCGCGCCCGACGTCCTCGCGTGATCCCTTGTTTGAGAGATCATCACATTCAGGCAAGACGTCGTTGGTGTAGGGATCGTCAACACTGGGATAATCGACACTGGAGCAATGTGATGTTTTCAGATGAGTCAAGGTTCACTGTTGATTTTTTGGACAGACGTAGGAGGGTGTGGCGTCGTCGAAACGAGCGCTTCCAAGACGTTAACGTCATCAGACATGATCGATTTGGGGGTGGTTCTGTTATGGTTTGGGGAGGCATCACTGTTGCTGGAAGAACGGCTTTACATGTTGTTGCAGGGCGTGTTACAGGCCAGTACTACCGGGACAACATCTTGGCAGTCCATGTTATGCCGTTCGCACGACGTCATGGCCGCCGTTTCATCTTCCAGGATGACAACGCAAGATGTCACAGGGCCAGGATCGTTACAGGTTACCTCCAACAACAGAACATCACCACATTACCTTGGCCAGCACTGAGTCCCGACCTCTCCCCCATCGAGCATGTCTGGGACATGCTTGGACAGAGGTTACGTCAACGTCAACAACGTCCTGCCAATGTCCAAGAACTTGCTGCTGCGTTGCAACAGAAATGGGACAATCTGGATCAAAATGACCTTAGACGTCTCATTAGGAGTATGCCACGTCGGATCAATGCTTGTTTGGCAAACAGAGGAGGATTTACCCGTTACTGACTTGGTTGTGATGCTGTGGTAACTTTGCTGTTTGACCCCGGGTATCATTTTACCCTTATAATGGTCAGTCTGTGCCTTACTTAGTCTAACGATCATTTGGAATAAATCGATGAATGTGAACTTCATTTCATTTTGTCATTCGTTTCTTCGTCAGTTTCATTAGGTGACTTTAATAACACTTAAAAATCAAATATCCCCTACTTTTTTTGAATAGTATATATGATGTCTACATTTATTCAACTAGTGTTTTATGAGGTACTGAATACTGTACTTATGTCTGAAGATATGTGAACATATATCGTTAACGTATTTACAACAATGATTTCACTGAAGTATGTTTTTGTGGTAATAATTCATCAATATTATTTCTTCTACGCTAATAATAGTCATTTCATTGAATCTTTTCAAACGATGAGTTGTATAGAGACTAACCATGCAGAACGAATTTCCTAAACATCCTCAGGATTTTACTTCCCCCGACCTGGTTTTAGATCATCGAGTTTATCTGACATAGCCATAAATCGAATACAAAACTTTGGTATAAAAAGATGTTGCCGGGGAAATCGTGGAAAACAATCTAGTGCTCGTAGGACTGCAAGTTGGAAGGCATCATGCGACAAAAATAAAGGAATTCACTCACATTGATCTACTGTATTACGTTCATTACCATCGGAAACATTATATGACAATAACCGTCACTGTAGATCTGGTTTAGTTAATGCTAGATCAATTCGTAATAAAACCGACCAATTTCTACATCAAGTAGTCACAGAAAATCTGTTGATGTCTGCATAATCACCGAAACGTGGTTGAAGAATTGGAACACCGTTGAAATAGCAGACTTAAAACAATTCGGTTATGATTTCAAAAACTCTGAGAGAAAGGGCCGCACGGGTGGTGGTATTGGAATATTTTTTAAGGACAATATTAAAGTTAGCGTTACGAGTTCAGGTGAAAATACGTCTTTTGAATTTGCACAAATATTAATTATCAATAGTTTTAGAATTACAGAATAGCTATTTATAGACCACCATATTCTGAACAGCATCCCATTTCGACAGCAACATTCTTCAGTGAATTTGCTGACTTTATAAGTAATTTATTTTTGACCTGCAATGATGTTTATTTGTCGGGGATTTCAACATACACGCCAATAAGCCCACAGAAGCGGATACTGTTGCCTCTAATGAACTATTGGACAATTTCTCTTTGAACCAACTTGTTACGAACCCAACACATATTTCTGGAAATACACTAGATCTGATATTGATTCGTGAAAACAGTGATTTCTCTATAATAAGTAATATCAAAACTGAATATTATCTTTCTGACCATGTTTTCATATTGTCAAATATCTCAACATCTTGTCCAATGCTTGTGCTAAGCAAATTCAGTTTCGTCGTCTTAAATCGATTAATCAAGAGATTTTCAGGTCAGATATTGCCAAATTTGCAGAACATCTTTCGACCTTGAATAACATAGATGACCTCGTTTCTGGCTATAATGAATGTTTACAGAATGTATTAAACAATCATGCACCAATCAAAACGAAATCTATTACACTTCATCGGGAAGTACCTTGGTTTGATGCTAAAGCCATGGAACTTAAAATATCTACCCGAAACGCTGAACGTCGCTGGGTCAAGCACAAAACGTCCTAGAAATGGGATCACTTCCGTGAACTCCGTAATTTATACAGTCACCATCTTACTCAATCTAAAATTTCTTTCATACGCGACAAGATCAACTCTTGCGGAAATAATTATAAACGACTGTTTGAAACAATTGCCAAACTCACTGGTTCCAAGAAATCTAATCCGCTACCCGAAGGTGTATCGGATTCTCAGCTGGCGAATGACTTTGCTTTGTTCTTTCACGATAAGATTGACACAATCTGCCGAGATTTGGATGGGTATCCAGTGTACGTTCCTCCATCTATAGATGTACACCATTTTGCGTCTTTCAGTGCAATAGACACTGAAACTGTAGGAAAGCTCATTCAAAACGCAAAACCAACTACGTGCAGTTTGGATCCGTTACCATCATGCCTGGTTAAAGAACATCGCGATATATTCGCACCATTAATCCGTGATATTATCAATACCTCCCTTTCGTTGGGGGTGTTTCATTCAGAATGGAAAAGATGGAAAAGAGCTATCATAAAACCTCTTTTAAAGAAGACAAATTTAGACCACATCAAAAAGAACTACCGTCCAGTTAGCAACCTTTCCTTTTTGTCCAAATTGGTCGAAAAAGCTTTTCTGATCAGCTTTCCGAGCACATGGACAACCATCGTCTCCTACCATCGTACCAGAGCGCATATCGTAAAAATTATAGTACAGAAACATTAATCCTTAAAATATATAACGACATCTTACACAATATGGAACATCAATTATTATCGCCTTTTGTTGCCATAGATCTTAGTGCCGCGTTTGATACTGTGAATCGTGAACTGTTGCTTGAAATCCTTCAAAAATACTTTGGCGTTTGTGAAACCGCACACGAATGGGTAGCTTCCTATCACTCTGGTAGATATGGAAGCGTATGGGGGTCAATAGCGCGATAGATACCGCAATATTAAGTTGGTAATATGTCAATATATTGTGATTGTTCTGATGATTTTATCTCTGAAAAGACAATTTTGCCGAGTTAATTGAGTCAACGCGCTATATTAGATGTCCCCATTTCGTTTTAAATGTGCTCGTTTGCGTTAAGATATTGCTATTCTGAAGCTTTGTCGACATATTCCATATCGCCGTAGCATATGTCGACATTTTCGCGAAATATCGCCATTCGCTATGTCGACGTGTGCATTTAAAACGAAATGACGATATACAACATAGAGAGTTATTCAATTAACTCGGCAAAATTGTTTTTTCTGTGATAAAATCATCAGAACAATCACAATATGTTGACATATTACCAAATTAATATTGCGGTATCTATCGCACTATTGACCCCTATACGCTTCCATAGGTAGAAGCTTTAATGTTAACATCAACCAAACTAATTCGACGCCATTCGATATAATTTTTTCTGTTCCTCAAGGTAGTATAAACGGTCCAGTTTTCTTCACATGTTATTCTAGCACATTGTAGTACCGTACAGTGTTAAGGATGACCTTAATCTCGTTGGGTATGCCGATGATCATAACATCTACGGTAGTTTTAAAGCTGGTGAGATTTCATCGGAATTGGAAACGATCTCGCGTTTGTCTTCCACAATGGATGACATTAAACATTGGATGCTTAGTGACCGGCTTAAAATGAATGATTATAAATCAGAATTTATAGTTTTTGGTAGTAACAGAACTCTGCAAAAATGTACAACAACGGAGATTAAAGTTGGAGATGTGTCTGTCACACGATTAAGCCATGTTAAAATTCTCGGTGTCTCAATGGATGAAAATCGCAGTCTCAAAAAACATATCGCAATAAAATCTGAAACCGCTGCAATAGGCTATCACGGGCGCGTCGAAATACCCAATAACTGCCCAATAACTGCCCAATAACACTCAATAACGGTCCAGTAACACCCAATAACTCCAAAATAACAACCAATAACTACAAAATGTTGACTTTGGAAACACAAAATAACAATTTAGTTGAATTTAAGAAGTATCTACTTTCTCACAATCTGAATGGCACCAACGTTGACATACTTCACAATATAAGCTTTGAATATCGCGAGTTTCTTTCAAACATGATCCGCAAGGATACTCAATTCGGGGATTTTCCTATCATGTATAATTAAAACGAATTGCAACGAAAGCATATATTAATTTCTTGTAAACAAAAATCACATACACGAGTTATCTCCCTTCAGGCGAGTGAGCGTAAAACTCTGATTTGGGCTCAACGTTGCGAGGCTTTTAAATTCAACTAATTTTAAATTGTTATTTTGTATTTCCAAAGTCAACAATTTGGTGTTATTGGGCAGTTATTGAGTGTTATTCGGCAGTTATTGGGTGTTATTAATTTCTTGTCAACAAAAATCTCCGATTTGGACACAAAGCAGCGATGCTTCTTAAATTCAACTAAATTGTTATTTTGTGTTTCCAAAGTCAACATTTTGTAGTTATTGGGCAGTTATTGGGTGTTATTGGGTAATTCGACGCGCCGGGCTATCACTATTATACGGTGACTATTGGATATCAAGAAAATAAACCGCTACCTTGATAGAAATTCTCGTTTAAAACTTGCTAATGCTCTGATTTTTACTTAAACCCAATCCCAACCGATATACGACAAGATTTTCAAACAGTCGGCAACAATACGTCCCAGCTACAAAACTATGATGGGTTATAAAGAGAGACAACTCTTTCTAGTTTGGCGGAAATGAAGTAAACCTTGGAATTGTGGGTCGAGTTACTAACGTAAACAAAAAGACTGGGCCAAGTAAGAAAATAATAATAAGGTGAATAAATAAGAATGATTTATAATATTATGTTGTTTTTTAAACAAAAATCAAATAAATCTGACAACATGGCAGGAACCCAGTTAAAACCGAAGTTAACTCTAGCTAAAAGTAAAATGCCTTTGTCAATAAATCCACTTCCTTCACCATTAATTATTAAACTAATTTAAAGTAGGAGTTCCTTTAGGAACTGTCTTTGATCGGACGGTGTCATCGAACATCGTCCGATCAGAGAGTGTTCATAGGAACTAAATTTAAAGTTGCTAAGTCTCTAACACAATATCATCCAAAGTCTGCGACATTGAAAACACAAATTATTTGTCAATTTAAATCAACATTGATGTTGTGATCTTACTGTGAAAAGATGGACTTCTGATATCCAAAACCAATATTAAGAAAAAATAAACATTTTACCATATATTGGTACACGAATCAGTGCCATTTGTAACAAATTAAGGGACTCGAAGAACGCGGCTAGATATATTCCACAGGTCATGTCAAACGGTGATGCCATGTAGAGCATATGCGCATAAATACTATCGGTGTAGACTGCTAGAAATTGCCATTGGATTGAGATTTCTGACATATTTCGCCGAACATAACTGATTACAGTAAAACAGAAACGGTTGAATGTAAATCAGTTTATATACATGATATTCGTATTACATTATTATATACGTTCCGACTCATTTGTATCAATTTCTAGATCCCAAACATTAGCGATTTAGCTCCTTTAAAGTAGCTAAAAGAAAGTGATTTGGCTACCGTCGGCTAAGTCTCTAACTCAGTATTAATCATCAAAAGTCTTCGACATTGGAAACGTGAATTATTTGTCAGTTTAAATCATCATTGATGTTGTGATCTTACCGGGAAAAGATGGGCTTCTGATATCCAATATTTAATACAAAATAAACATTTTACCATTGGTACACGAATCGTGTAGGCCTACCATAATGCGTTTCAGTGCCATTTGTAACAAGCGACTCGAAGAACGAATCTCCACAAGTCATGTTAAACGGTGATGCCATTTTCTTATCTGGAGTCTCCAGTGGAGAGCATGTGCAATAAATACTATTGGTGTAATTACTGGAATAACCAGATGCTACAGGTTGCCATTCAATTATGGCTTTGCCGAACATAACTGATTTGAAATTTGAGTAAAAACGGAAATGATTGAATGTAAATCAGTTTATATATAGTCATATTACATTATTATGCATTGCGACCCATTTGTGACAATTTCTAGGCCCCAAATATTAGCGATTTAGCTCCTTGAAGTTGGTGTCTGTCTTTATTATATTTGACATACTGTTATATAGTATCATCTATATGTGATGTCCCATTAATGTAAGGCTGTATGTGTGAGAGAGTGTACACTCCAGTGAGAGAGGTCAGTTAACTTGTGGTTGTCAGTGAGGTTAGGTCATCATTTGTGTTGTGATCACTTTGTTCAGTTAATTGGAATAAACTCCTCTAGAACTTATAAATACTTCTGTCATCTAATTATATGAATAGGCTTAAGGCCTATTTTACAATACTGTACCGTACATACACAAATATGAACTCCACTGTCACACTGAACTAACTCATAGTACTAGTGTATATTAGCCTTTTTCAGTTTGTCCGAAAATTTTTTTTTTTTTTAAATTGGATAATTTTACATGACATTTGATCGACTTTGAGGTCTCTTTATATAATGAGATCCACAGGTACGTAGGCCTATAATACATGCCAATTGAAATTTGGTGTCACTTAAATAACTGGTCAGAGTCACTAGATGTTGCGTGCAGTGCAGTTAGGGTAGCACAATTTACCCAAATGCCCCCAAATCACACATTATTTCAAGTTAATAATAATATAGATTTACTGTTCTTTATGCCAAATTTCTGTTTTTAATTTAAAATCCTAACGTTTTTATGTCAAAATGCTCCTCAAAATGTGATTCCCACTCATGTAGTTATCGTGTGCCTGTAAAACTAAAAGCACTCGACCTTGACAATTGGATGAGGAGTAGGGCTGTCATTGAGTCAAGTGGCATGGTTTTGATTCCCTCCTTGTACTTGACAGCTAGAGACCCCTTCACACTATCGAATAATTGAAATAAAATTGAATCATTTGTTAGACTGTCCCTCCCAGGCAAAATTTACTTCATGGTACACAGCATGGTGTATATACTTTTCTTCATTGGTCCAGTCGGTGCAGAAAGGTTAGACCTTAAACACCATTTAATTTCAAGTCTTCTCTTTCCATCTTTCAGATAATTGTATTGAGTAGTGTTTGACCTAAGATGACAGACTCAGAAATCGATGATGTACAAGTTAAAATGTCGCCAAGTGAAAGTAGTGAAAAATCATGTGATCTGCGAGGTGAGGAAAAAGTAAAAGATAATAGGACTTCTGAAGTTAGAAATTTAGACATTGACCAATCAAATAATTGCCAGTCACATGACATGAAACATGACCAATCAAATGATTTAAAAAATGACCAATCAAATGACATTACAAAAAGCGAATTAAAGGAATTAGAAAGTGACCAGTCAAAAGACTTAGAAATTGACCAATTAATTGATTCAGAAAAGACCCAATCAAATGACATAGAAGATGACCAATCAAAAGATAGCAAAAATGACCAATCAAAGGATAATGAAAATGACCAATCAAAGTATAAGGTCAGAGAAAATGACCAATCAAGTGCTCAATTAAATACCTCATCAGAAAGTGCTGTTAATGAAAACATTACGAATAGTGCTGAACTAAGTGCAGTGGCGGTGGCAGACGGTAATGTTGGTCATGCTGAAAGAAAAGAAGAAAATGTTCTGGAAGCAGATTTGGGAGTTTATTTAGATATGGATGATGATTCAAGTGTTACAAGTTATGAAAAATCATCTAAGCAGACAGAAAAACAAGATGATGGCGATTCAAAATCTCGATCTACAGTGAAAAAAGAAGAAAAAGAAGTTGGCATTCAAAGTAGATCCGAGTCAAGGATACATTTTAAAGATCCAGATAAACCTGGAGGAAATGATGTAGATGAAATTGAGAGTATGAGTGGAGTACACAGAAAGGTCAACACACCAGTTAGTCATATAAACAATGATGTCAATCTGCTTGAACCAAGGTTAGTCAGCCAATTCTTTTGGATGTCATATCGAATGCCGATTTTACTATTAGAATATTCCTAGTATTTATTCAAATCAGGGGAGGGGTATTGGTGGCCGAATGGTTAAATGCACGACCTTTAGACCATAAGGTCTGTCATCGTGTCAGGTGGCATGGTGTCAATTCCCTGCTTTTGCAGGACAAGAAGTAGGGTTGCCTGTCCAACTTCATGGGTTTTCTCCAGGTCCTCCAGTTTCCTCACCCTGAAAAGTGATTTAATGAAATAAGATTGAATCATATGTTAGTCCCAAATGACCTAGTTTGTGTTGAGTAGACATAAAACCAGTGAGTAAGACGCTTGCCTAAAGGTCTCGGTTCTCTCTCAGTGTTGGCTGCGACAGTCCCTTGGGATGTTCGAGAGTGGTTTGCCCCTGTCAATTGTGCAGGACGGACGGCCTGGCGAAGGACAACATATATATAGTCGTTCGGAGTGGATGAAAAACCGACGTCCCATGCGTAAACCATGGCAGGCACGTAAAATAACCCTTGACAGTTGGAATTCGAAATAAGATTCTAAGGCATAGCTAGCACTGCTGCATGATACCAAATTTCTTTTATAGCACACTGTATGATGTCTGTCTTCATTAGCCCAGTCAGTGCATACAAGTAAGACGTTAAGCCTCATTTCATTTCCTCCACCACTTTGCACACGTATCCATAGAAATGGGTGCCAGTCAAGTCGTCCACAAACAAAGTCGTCCACACCCGTTGGTGGAGTCGTCCACAAGGCATTGGTGATGTCGTCCACAACTATTGGTGATGTTTATTTGACTCCACCAACGTATTACTATATCCCAAAATTAAACTAAATCGTGTGGACCCAACGGGTGTGGACGACTCCACCAACGGGTGTGGATGACTTAATCAGATTTTTCGTGTGGACGACTTTGCTTGTGGACAACTTGACTGACATTCATAGAAATGATAATTACCATTCATTTGTTTCAACAAATATACTGAAGAATTGTGTTGACTCTATCAACAGTCCATGCAAGTGGTGAACAAATTTTGTTTTTAAATTACAGAAATGTTGAATCAAGGGAGGCTACTTTTAAACAAGCGATGAATTTAATGTCGACACGATGTTCTAGCGAACAGAAAGACATTCCATATGGCCCCTACCTGCCAGAATATTTCTATATTCATCAAAAACGCCCATGTCCCATGCCACCCTTAAAGGTAGGTCATATAGTTTTGATACAGTCTACAATCATGCTGCTTGTATTGGCAGCCATGAAACTTAATATTGATCATTAAACTTACAGATTAGGTAAAAAAAAAATGGCTGCCGTTGACCGAACTCTCTTTATATATAGCACTGATTGTGAATATAGTCTCATCTGGTTCGGGGGTTTGGGTGGCTGAATGGTTAACACATGTGCATTGCAATGAAATGAAATGGGGTTTAATGTCCTACTGTTCAGCTCCGACTGGGTATGCGCATTGCATCAAAAGGTCATTGATTTAAGTGGCGTGGTTTTGATTCCCCACTTGTACGTGACAAGAAGTAGGGGTGCCTGTCCAACCTTGTGTGTTTTCTCTGGGTCCTCCGGTTTCCTTTCACTGCTAAAGACCCATATGTGTAAGTTAATAATCGAAATAATAATTGAACCATATGTTAGTTCCAAAATGACCAAGTTTGTGTCGAGTGGATGTTAAATCCCATGTCTCTCTCTGATCTGATTTTACCAATTGTGTCCAAAGATACAAAAATATATCTCACATAAATTGATATTATGTTTTTTCAGGCATGGCGTGGTTACCATGGAAATGTTTATTTTGAGCCAATCACAATCAACAGTTTACAACAAAATCAATCAACCAACGTACCTCTGGACAGATGTAACCATAGAAACCATCAGATGTTACTGGCACGTAGTCGCATGTCCTCACAAAACAATGTTCAGTCCAGACAATTTGTTCACAGTCGTCCAGTAACACAACAATTGGTTGTTCTGGATAGAAATGTCGTTTTGAACAAGTTTAATGAAAACAGTACTCAAGATCTAGTGTGGCTGGAAGGTCAAGACTCAACAGGCAGTTTGGCCATTAGACCACAGTCATTTGGTAGCCGACGTCGACCAGCTTCATCAAGACATGATCGAATCTGTAAAGGTTCAGTTTCACGTAAAATGAATGAAGCAGCGAAGAGAAAGAATCAGCCTGAGATGAGAATCATGGGAGATAAATTTGTACACCCGAGCGCCATGTCCCCGTTATTACGCTCCACCACTCAATATTCGTTGAGTAACCAGAGAAACGTCATGAGCAGTCCTGATCTTTATCACGGTCACCATGGCTACCATGACCTCCTACCTCCTGTCGAACAGATGAGAGTTAGTCTCCGCCATATCGATAATTCCAGGGATAATTACAGTCACATGTCCCCCTACACTCGTTCAACTCCCTACACGGAAGATCTAAAACCCTTCATTAAATACAGTCCTGAAATAAAGGCCAAGTTTGGTCGACGCTTGACTACCATGTGAAAGTGTGATAACAGGAATTACTTGTGGGTATGAATGAAACATGAATCACAGATGAAAACTATTATTTCTGTAAAATTCTTGCCCCCCCCCCCACTCAAAAATATATTTTCAAGAACTTTACCAGATCTGTTAATAACTGAGTTATGAGACAGAAGTCTTTTAATAAAAAAGACTTGCTTGCACATAGCATCCATTTTAAACATCATTAATTTAGGAAGCCCCATGGGACAGACTTAAAATTAAACTGTTTTCATCTATGTACAGCACCAGGGAATAACCTCCTTTTCTATTTGTGAAAGATAGATAATTGACAAAATCATTCAAATGTATACAGCACTGTCAACGCTGTAGTGAGTACCATTTAAGTCAGGAATAAGACTGAGGTTTACTGTCACTTCAACACAATACTTCGGTTATTTTGAAACACACACTGAGGGAGGAAAATCTTTATCCCAGACATCATTGTTTTGGCCTTTCCTTCTTGGATTTTCAACTGTTACAGAATGTCCTTCAGAATGACTGGGCAGTCTCCTTGTCAGTCCTTCAGGGGCCTGCACCACCCTAGAAAATTAGTGACACCCCTGATAAGCAGGCCAGAAGGTTCTTTTCAGCCTACACGTGACCCTCTACTACATACATCTATTGTTTGGACAATGTATTTATACTAATATTTATAACTGTCGTTTGTCTGTCTGTTCAAAGTTGGCGGCTTCACTAGGACTGTCCCGAGGCTGAAATTTGGTGAATAGGGATAGCTTGGACCAGTGAGTAACATAGGCCTGGTGGCGTTAGACTACCGTTTCTGGTTTTCAGAGTTATTCTGCTTTCAGTTCCGGGTACAACCTGTGCAGTGCGGAGTCATCCACTAGTTTTGAATAAAATAAACTGTTTTATTGTGTGATTGAAAATGGGCAAAATATTTGAAATTGATACACCAGCAATATGCTTTGCCAGTCTGAGCCCGACTTATATTAATTGTAGAAGGCACAATGTTAAGAGTGTTCAGTCAGTGTGTTTCAACAGTCAACTGATGAATTTCGACAGTCAACTAACTGTAGTTAATAGTGAATAAACACAATACAATTATTATTTCGTTTGGTGTTACATGATATAAAAAACAGTAACGAAACTATTCCTCACTTTTACTTTGCCTGGAGAAAATTAAAGATACAGAACGAATAGTTATGAACCCTGTATTATTGGTTATTTGTTAGGGTTATTTGTCAACTTGTCATTGCTGGGTTATATTAATTGTAAGCATAGATAATGTTGATAAAAATTTCATTTATTTGTAATTCTGTGTTTTAACTCCATACGGGGGGTTGGATGGCTGAATGGTTAGCGTGCACGCGCTGTATCATAAAGTCTATCATTGAGTCGACTGGTGTGGTTTCGAATCCCCGGTTGTACGTGACAAGGACTAGGGTCGCTGTCCAACCTCGTAGGTTTTATGAAATAAAATTTAACCATATGCTAGTCTCGAAATGACCTAGTTTGTGTCAAGTGGACGTTAAACCCCATTTCTCTCTCTCTCTCTTTAACTCCATACATTAACATAGGTTTTAGAAAGCAGATATAAATTCGATGTGTTTTTGTATTTAATATTGGATGAGCTATGGACAGATTTTGACAATTTTTAAAGAAAATAATTATCTAATTTTGAAAAATATATTTTTTATACTTTTTATAATGTTAATTATAAATTTGCCTTTATGGATGCACAATTGTATAATTATTAAACTATTTTTATATATTGTAACTGGTACCTGTATATTTTATATATTGTTACTGGTACATGTATAATTTATATATTGTTACTGGTATATGTACAATTTTATATATTGTTACTGGTACATGTATATTTTATATATTGTTACTGGCATGTATATAAGTATATTTTATATATTGTTACTGGTATATGTATAATTTTATATATATATTGTTACTGGTACATTTATATATTGTTACTGATACATGGATATTTTCATGTATTGTTGCTTATACTTATAGGAGAATTTATATACCTAATCTTAATAAATCAGTTATTTTGTCATTTTGAATTTATAAGGGTATAACATTATGGTTATGAAATTAACCAGCATCCAGAATTGTTACAAAAGCAAAATCTATCAGACTATAAAATTTTATTTGCTTTCTGTCATTTAAAACTTTTAAAGAATTTTGCTCAGTTATTTATATACATATATCTTATTTAATTTATTGACATGTGTTTTTATTTTTTTTTAGACATTTCGAGTCTTGTAGAAAATATCTAGGCCTATTACTAAACATATAACTTTAAAACAAAGCATAAAAGAAGTTCAAACTCATTTCTGGTGTTTGTTATAGCTCATATCTTTCTAATTAACAGGGGGTGGGTGGCGTTGTTTTATCGAGTTTAATGGCTTGGTTTAATTCCTCGCTTGTGCGTGACAGGGTGTAGGGTCCTGTCCAACTTTGTGGGTTTTCTCGGGATCCTCCGGTTTTCTCCTACAGCCAAAGACCCCTACGTGCAAGTGAATTATTGAAATAAAATTGAACCCTGTGTTAGTCCTGAAATGACCTAGTTTGTGTCAAGTGGGCCATAAACCCCATTTTTCTCTCTGTGAAAATGTTTCACCAGCTGTAAACCCTACTTTATCCCTGTCTCACCACCTGTAAACCCTACATTATACATACCGGACTTAAAATGATCAGAATATTATTAAAATATCAAGAGAGATTCCCTCATTACCTTGCACAATCCAATCCCCCATGAACAAACTCTGTGCAATTCTTAAAGAGGATTAAACTCTGTTACAAACCCCAGCACAACACTTCCTTTAAATCATTTTACGGCATTCCTTGCAAGACATACTTGGCTTAGAGGCCATGTTAAATGAAATGGGGTTTAACGTCCTACTGTTCTGCTCCGAACTGGGCTAATGAAGACGGGCATACGCCATACAGTGTGCTATGAGGGAAATTTTGTCCGGTCAGCGGCACTACGGCCTACTCTTATATCGAATTCCAACTGTCAAGGGATCTTTTAGGTGCACTCCAATGTGTACATGGGACCTCGGTTTTTCGTACCATCCGAACGACTAGACAGCTGTCCTTGTCAGGCCCTCCGTCCTGCATCACTGACAAGGGAGAACCACGCCGGAAAATCTGGATGAACTTTCTCGGCAAATGCAGGGATAGAACACCTGACCTCCAGGCTAGCAAACCAGTGTCTTACCTGCTTAGCCACCGTGATCCCCCCCCCGTTTGGTCAGAGTTCTAGGCTTGTAACCTCAGACTGTATATATAATATAAACATGGACCTTATAAAAACACAGGTTCTCCATGTTATATCTGTTTGGAAAAGTACACAATGTGAAAGGTTGATTGGATACCGTAGATACGTGGTGTCATATATGTTTTTGTTTGAAGTTGTTACACAGGACCTTGTCACCAGGAGATCCAGAGCTCTATCTCTATAAGTTGCCGTGACACAGGATAAGTGCCACCATCGATTAAATTTTAAATAACTAGGCTTGTGTAAAGAACTTGTATCATCAAAAAACTAGGTTGGAATATTAAATTAAGTATTTATTATCACAGAATAACTCAGAACTTTATAAATAAATAACATTATCTCCCACATATTTATACAATTCATTAATCAATCAAAAATTTAAATTTCTTTCAAATGTGAAATATTAAAATTCAAAATGTCTGGAATTTAAATTTTAGTTTTAAAAGAAAAGAATAATTTAAAATTTGTTTACACACAGCAAAAGAGTATAAATAAATTTAAGTTCATATAACATGTAAACAAATACAACTTCTCTAGTCAGAAAATAAATAGCAATATTCTGATAACTTAAATATATCCAAATATCTATTTAAACAAGTATTTGTAAAAAAAATAAGTTTATCAATTTAACATTTCAGGATTTCTGTAAAAAAACATTTTAAAAATTCTGAAAAAAAATTATGTTCAGACCAAATGTTATTATTAGCTGGACGGAATTACAAATGTTTTTACTATCACAACAAAATATATATGAGAATATGGCAAACAAAATGAAAATCTAATTTCAGCACTTAATATATTTGTAAACAGGGTAATGAAGGTGTTTTTCAAGGATGGACGATTCATATACTTGCAGTAAACAGCAGAATAATTTAGATGTTTTTCAGGGACGGACAATTAATATGTAGTAAATAAATGTCGATGAACAAAAATGAGTTTTAATCTCTACACCCAATGGACTAATAAAAGATGTGTACACTTAGTAAGTAATTCTACACCAATAGAAACCGGCATACAGAATAATCTACATGATAACGCTGTCTTTTATTTTCTATATTTATGGCTAGTTTGAATATTTTTGTACATATTTTCAAATTTCATGCATTTTTAAAAAAATTTTTATTGTTTTCAATAGGTGAATTTTCAGTGATTTTTAAGGAAAAGAGCAGCTCCACATTGTAACCATGTGTTTTGATTTCCACCACAGGGTAACTCTAACTTTGCTACAATATGATCTCTGGTACTACTGTAATATATCGGCACAGATATTGTATCATCTATACTGTATGGGTCCGGGAACTCCTGGAATATATATCATTTTATTTTATGATCAGTAGTGGAATACTGCGTTTTATCAGTGAAATAAAAGTGTTATTTCACTGGCTAGTTGTTTTTACCTAAAATGATTGTAAAATCATAAATTAAATAGAACATTTGTCGTTTTGTCGTGAACAACATATTTTATTTCATCTCTAAGCAAGAAAACATTAATATTTTCACTCATGCCAAAACGACAAATATCCTCTATATATTATTAGGTCCTGCAGTCAGAATCTTAATCAAATGTTACGATCACTGAAAATCATGATAACAGGGATTCCTCCACAATCTGTCACGTATTCAGAAATTTAAGCTGCTGGGGGTAGGTGGGAAGGGGGGGGGGAGATGGAGACAACATCAAAATTGGCATGAGGTCTAGGAGATTACCTAAGAATTTTATTAAACCAGAAGCACTGAGACGAGATTTCTGCTCGTTTAGATCCATACTTGTATACATGTATTATTGGATAAGAGTGGAGTGAGGCCAAAACGGTGGCAATGCTTGGCACGTTTGTTTATTCGACGCTATTTCGATGAATGTAGGAGAAAACACCAATATGCTCTGCACGAGCATGGAAGGGTCCAGATCTTTGCCCACACTAGAAAGGTTCCTGGGATGTCATATTCATATTTGAACGCGGGTTATGGTTATTGATAATATGTTGTCTCCATTGCTACACACAGACTAGCTGAAAATATAATAAACATTCAAACTTCTTCATTGTTGATTATTTCAAACAATTCATTTGAAAGTATGCAACATTTCTTCAGAAATATGTTTTACTGCCCTTTTCTAAATTAGACCTTTTGACAAACACAAACAAAAATTGGATTTGGAAAGGGTAAAGGGGTTATCATTAATTAAGGAGTTGATGGGGGGAGGAGGCAGGTAAAGGTTTTTAAGGGGTTAAGAAAGGGAAATTGGTAATGGTTTTTAAGGGGTTGAGGGAGGGAAATTGGTAATGGTTTTCATGGTATTCTGAAGCTGAAAGGATCTAAAGTTGAGGAGAAAAATTTTGAGTTCAGGTTTTCAGATAGGAGACAAGCAAGGTTTTGAGGAATTCAATACACTGAAATCTTAATATTACTTTTTAAGTTACACACTAAAATTTCTTTGTAAAAAGAAGATTTTGCTGTAGAAATTACTGAAATTAATATCCTTATTAGAATAAGGATAAGTTATTAAATATTCTTCAAATACTCTTTTCTATTTATTCTATTCAATTTATGTTGAATTCAGTATTGTCAACAGCAAAAGCAATCCCTATCAACTATGAAATTATGTTGTTACGAAAATCTGAAACCAAGATGTCACACTATGTTTTTGGGTACACGCCCTATAACTTACCTTGCGTCTATGATCAAGTAATTCACTCTAAATAATACAAATATATCATGTCATTTGGTATAAATGTTACTTTTAAAATATCCAGGTGCTGGTCGTTTCAAAATCTCAGTGAAGTATAAAATACACCCCAGAAAAGGTTCAGGTGCTGGTCGTTTAAAAATCTCAGGGAAGTATAAAATACACCCCAGAAAAAGTTCAGGAGAGAGATTACACATGTCATTTTAAAATGGAGTGAATCTTAAAAATATTATATTTTTCTTTGTCTCTGAGGATGTTTTGCATATATACTCTTCAAAAAAAAGTAGGGGATATTGAAATGCAAATACCTATGTAGGTTGCGATATGATAAATAGTCATGGACACTTGACATGCTTTGAGAGCATGTTCACAGATGAAGAACTTATCACCCCAACAGAACCACTGAGCTGCATGTGCGACATGCAATAGCGGCATACACGTGGGAGGGGTTCATTGTCAAATCTGACGCTTCAAGGAAGGGTTGATGAAAACTGCCGCTTGCTGGTTTATCCTATCCATGTTTGCTTTCCTATTGGTTCTTGCATACGATTTACTGTTTAGCGAATCTTTGCTTTAGTGTGTTATATTTAATTTAATCGGGAGACGTGTTTGTCAACGTCAAAGTCAACCGACAATACAGCAAGAGGAGTGGGTCAGTTTGCCCCAAATCGTGATTGGACATTTGATTAGGAGCATGCCACGACAAATTGCTGAATGTCTGAGGATTGGTGGAGCAACTACTCATTATTAAGACAAAAATCAAAAACCTCCATTTTCACTTTCGACAGTTTATCTCATTGCGAGTGAAATGGGGCCGTCAGATAAGTCGCGCATATGAACTGTTTATGTTCATGTGTAGGCAATTGGCCTGTTATTAACATACACTGGTTACCTCTAATAAAAACAGCAGTGCATTTCTGCAGTTTTGTATTGTTTCTGAATATCCCCTACTTCTTTTGAAGAGTTTATAAAGATACATTATGTAAGATTTACATAAAGCTAGCTATTCTTGCTATAATATTTCATAAATAGATAATGAAAAATGAATATAATGAAAGCTTCATTTAAATTACTTTATTCTGGGTAAAGTTATTATGGTATATTATTGTGGCAACAGCCAGACCATCTTATGGCGGGTATTTAAGTGGATTAAAACACCGACAAGATTAAAAAATTTAATGATCAAATGGATAATCGAGACTTAGCCTTGATTGTCAAGTAACATTACTACAATAACAATCTATGCCACATCTTGACAAAACATCACACATTGATAACATTGCTCAGAATAAAGTAAATTAAATGAAATTTTCAATATATTCATTTTTCATTATTTTTTAAGCTATCACATAGCAAGAACGTACAGGTCTTTATCTAAATCTTACATAATGTATCTTTAAAATGGATGGATTTTTAAAAATATTGTATTGTTCGTTGTTTACATACATTGCCTATAATGTAGCTGAGGATGTGACCGAACACGATTACAACACCTTTAAAAACATAAATTTGTAAGGCCTGAATATTAGCTTGAAAGTTTATTTGGCTTCGGTTTTAAAAATGTTCACCACTCACTATATCTAATGGAACTCTGGTGGTAAAGAAACTTATAAAATAAAAACATTCATCAAAATTATTGTTACTCGAAAATCATTCTTGTGGTATAAAAACAAATGCTAACAACCTAAAACTGTTCCATAAATGCAACTTTGTCAAAGGTAAGAAATTCCATATAAATGCCCTTCATATTTTAATATATGAAGAAGTAAAAAATTACTTACTGCTGGTATCCAGGCAACCAGACATGGGGGTATAGCAGAAACACTGGGTGAATCTCGTTGATTTTCTGACATTCTAGATCCATCAAAGCTACATCCTTCCAGCTGTAGACCTCCGAGTTTAACACAGTATTTAGCTCCCTGTATATTACCCTTCCAGCTACACGCAAACTTTAAACTGTCCATAGAACAACCAACTTCCCTGTATGATAAACAGAACATTAAATATTTTTGCATACAGGTTTTTAGTAGTAGGAGGAAACGAGAGAAAACCCAGGAGATTGGACAGGCCACCCTACTACTGTCCATGGAACAGCCAACTTCCTTATAAACACAGATTTAAAGAAAATGAATAAAATCGGGTTTAACATCCTACTTTTCTGTAGGGAAATCAAGACTAACTTTCTCAAATGAAAACAGGCAACTGATATGGAGTGAAAAATTAACACACTTATATGGATATACTACTTCGGAATTTTATTAACATGCTACGTTTCAATACACACAGGTATCATTATCAAGCAATCCATATAAGTTTGTTAATTTTAGTATAATCTATTTCTATATGTCTTATAAGGATTATGCTAAGTAGTGTGCTATGACAGCACACTTGTTCAGCATACTATTACACGATAAGGCAGGCAATAGATCTAGGTCTACCGGGATTGAAGACAGGTAAGAGTAAGAAGGCAGCTCCAAGAGGAACTGAAGGCAGCTCCAAGAGGAACCGAAGTCGTCCTGAGGTTAACAGACGACTTCTGAAAATGAGGCTGAATACGAAAGTGAGGATGTGATAGGTTGGCTGGTATGGAGGCCTGTACGGGTAATAACACTATGAACAAATGGCACATTAATTTGGTTATTTAAAATAAAGTTACATATAAACTCTCACTTACTACAGTCTTAGTTTAGTTGATACTGACCAATCAGATAGGATAATCAAATAAGCGCAGATGACATTGATGTTAGAATGTTCGTGGGAGAATGATATAAATTAAATATTTTTTCACATTTCACCGAGGTGGTGCTACCCTGTATATATCATCTGCAGAGGATCCCAAACGTTAAGAAATTTTCAATCCATCATATCTTGGTCAATACCGAACAGATCACAGTCAGAGACTTTTAATTCTACACTGAATTAGTCATATAGACTCAAGGGAAGATAATAAATAAGAACGGAGAGATATGGGGTTTAACTTCCACTCATAACAAACTGGGTCATTTCGGGACTAACACATGGTTCAATTTTATTTCAATAATTTCCTTTGGCGTAGGGGTTTTTACATTTGACCCGGAAAAAACCCATTAGGTTGGACACACTACACTACTCCTTGTCACGTCCAAGTGTGGGCTTGAGACCATGCCACTTGATTTAATGACAGACCTTATGACCATTATGCCATCATCTACCCGCTCCCTCAATGCTTCTCAACCTACAATACCTACCTGGCAGTTTGTTGTCGTAAGGCATTAAGGAAGGTATCAGGATGAAATAACTCTGACAGATCTAAAGTGTCTCGTAACAAACTATTTCCTTCAGCTCGTTCTACCCAACTCTGCATGGACTGGGCACGGCTCACTAAACCTCGTAAATATTGTATTGGATCTTCTGGACCATCCCAGCTTTTCAGCCAAACAATTGGAGTCTGAAATACATATTTAAAAAAAAGTTAAAGTTGAAGATAGTCAATTACTATTTTGTTTTGGCCTGAAGTTCACAATTTATTCAGAAAGAAATGAAATGTGTTTAACGTCCTTCGTTTCTGCACCAAACAGGCGTATGAAGATAAGCATGCTCCCTCTATACAGTGTGATATAAGAAAATTTTACCCAGACAGTGGCATTCCATCAACTGTCAAGGGTTCTTTAATGTGCATGCCAATGAGTGGCCTGCAGTTTTCATCCTGCACGAATGACTAGACTATTTTGCTTGTCAGGGCCATCGTCTGAACCACTGACAAGTGAAAAACTAAGCTGAGGAATTTTCTCGGCCAACACCAGTGTTAAAACTAGGACCCCCTGGTTAGTGAACTACTGTGGCTCTATATAAAACCCTAAGATCCTCAGTTCCTATATCTTAAAGATGCATTATGTGAGAGAGAGAGAAATGGGGTTTAACGTCCACTCGACACAAACTAACATATGGTTCAATTTTATTTCCATAATTTGCTTGTGCGCAGGGGTCTTTAGCAGTGGGAGGAAACTGGAGGACCCGGAGAAACCCCATGATATTGGACAGGCGACCCTACCCCTTGTCACATACAACCGGGGAATCAAAACCACGCCAGTTGACTCAATGACAGACTTTATGATACAGCGCGCACGTGCTAACCATTCAGCCATCCAACTCCCCCAGATGCATTATGTATATAGATATAACTCAATGACCATTGAATATCGCTCGTGGAATACTTGCGCAGGGATACACTCTCTTGAACCATTGAATAACCCGAGCGGTATTCAATGGTCATTGAGTTCTGTTTTTGTTCTATAACTACATGCAAATCTTAAAATACACTGTACTATCTAGATTATCATAAAAAATCATCACCACTAACTTTAAAATTCATCATAGGTTCCGCCCTTTTTTCTTTCTTTTTTACAAAAATTGTGGTTGCCTAGTTGTGACGTCATTACAGTTTGGCGTAGTTCTGTAAGTGACGTCATTATGGACAAAAGTAGTACGTTTTCAAGCCATTGAATACAACTATAGGTTATTCAATGGCCGTATTCAATGATATTTGCTTGTATTTGCATGTAGTTATAGAATAAAAAACCTTATATCTTAAAGATGCATTATGTATGAGATAAATCTGCATATTACGTGTCTTTTGTCTGGCTTCAAATGTTATATAAATCGTTATTTAGACATTGATTCACATGACATGCCAAGCTATAATCAACTCTCTAGACCATTGGATGGCTGAGATTTAAATGGATTTGAATACCCCCCCCCCCCTCAACCCCATGATCTAAAAATTTGACGATAAAATGGATAATCAAAACTTTGTCATGGTTTTCAAGTACCGTTGCTGCAATAATAAATGATCTACGCTAGATCTTCAAACAGCCATTACTTTGCCCAGAATAAAGTAATGTGAATGAATGTTTTTTATATATTCTTTTTAGGAATCTATTTTTGAACTATTATAGCAAGAAGGGCCAGCTCTTTATTCTTACATAATGCATCTTTAATATAAAATAATACGATAATTACCTCTTGATTCAGAAGAGCAGCAGCTAGATTCTGTGTTTCTGAATTTAAGAGTTGTGTTCCCCTGATAACCTTACTGAGTCCAGAGAGTGAGGCGTGAACATTGTGAACTAATCGAATAGCATTATATCTCTCTAATAATATAAAGGAGACTATGGGCAATTCCTTTCCAGATTTATCACTAGGGGCTGCTATTTTCTGTTGAATCAAATTAGATCCCTGAAACAAGAAGAGTATAACCACAATAATTTCAATCAGATTAAATTTTTAAATTTATGCATTAGAGAATTTGTTCTTCATTATGATAATTCATTTTGAATTGGCCAAAAGTATACAACAAACAATTTATAATATAGTTATATAAGTAGTGCTACAGTTTGGACTTGGAATTCAGAAGTCACAGTCAGGGTCAGATTATGGGGGTTGATGACTGGGCTACAACCAGGGGCCCTTTCCCCCAAATCAGTTCTAATTTTTTTTTTTTTTTTTTTTTTAAAAAAGCATATAATTTATGATTTTACTCATTACACTGTATATGTTTGTGCCAAATAAATCTATCTACCATACTGACATATACAAACTGCATCTGTGTGAGTGTGACGGACAATGCCAAGAATATGCCCACTTTTTTACCGTTGATGCAAGGGCCCCAGTGACATTTTCAACCAGCGTTCCCATACAAGATTAAAAGATTAATCCAGCTCTGGCCACAGCTATTTGATAACCTTGGTAGATAGTAACCTCGAGCCACATACCAATAAGAAAAATTGGTCAAATCAACAAACCTGATTCAGCTTCTTCCATAAATTAAGAATAGGTCCCAATTCATTGGCCCACACTTCTTTATCAAATTTACTGGCCTTGACGTCTGCTCGTTGTAATATTCGTAGTTGTGATATAACTTGTGAACTAATGATTCGTTGAGCGGATCTCTCAATATTCTCAGGTAAACCAAAATATGAAGGTTTATCGAATTCCGGCAACGCTTCAATAGCTTCTATATAATCCTGATAAAAATAAAAACTTGTTTAGTTTTAAAGATGCATTACAAAAACACTACACATAAACATATGGCATATGGAATCTTGTACTTTGGTCAGTTCAATTTCAAGTTTAATTCTTCAGGGTCAATTGTGAAAATTTTGTGTCCATTTTCTTGGTCAAAACTATTTGGAAAACAAAAAACATCTGCTTGTGCTCACAAAATTTTGGGTATCAAATTTTAAAAATCGTGAAATTTCAAGAAACACAACAAATATCACACAAAGAGGACTACATGGTTAATCATCAAGATCCTGAAGACCTAAAACCAAAATTAGGCTGGCCGTAACATCTGGTTAGGTGTAAATATGAAGGCCACCTGTAGATTTCATCAAGGTCACGAGATGTAAACAGGGCTAGTGCTAACCCTAACCCCAACGCACAATCTCGTCAACAATCACATGCCCTAACCCTATTTACATCTCGCGACCTTGACTAAAAAAAATATAGATCTGACCTTTAACAGCCTTAGTTGGAAAGTTTCTTGATAGTGTCTTTGGATGCGACTGGTTAGAAACTTTTGTGATACAAACTAGCAAGACTTGGAAAACTCTGATTGGTTGTTGTGTGCAGACTTTTGATAATCCCATGAATTGTAATTACTTAAATAAATTCAGAAGGTCCATGAAAGTCGTCTTTGTTGGTTATTTATCTCTGACAGACTGCCTATCGTATCAAATGTCTTTGTTCATCGCATTACAGGTCATGATATGCTGAGCTAATAGAATTTTTATGGGCCCAGTCTTTGCATATAGTCACCAAAGTGCGCAATGATTCAGAGTTAAATTTTGTCTGAATACCTGGCATTTCTGCCCACTCTTCATTCATTGCTTTCCTTGTCAGCCTTGCAGGCTAACTCCTGACAAATGGGAACCAGCCTTGAAAAATACTGAGCTTCCTTGCGGCCTTCTTGGAGATTAAAGAGTCACATTCCCTTACATAACAAATTACTGTGGCCCCACTTGACAACACATCCCAAATACAAAATTATTTATTCTAAAATCCTGAGAAAGAGATACACACCGTATAGTTGGTAGAATTTGGTATTTTTAGTTGTCCAACTCGTTTTGTTTTTCCTTGTGAAGATAAAACTGAAGGATCGAAGAACTGTTTTAGATATGAAACCATGACACTCATATCGAAGGGATTATCAACACGACCACCATATATAGCAAACTCAAATAATCCATGAATAAACTGCCATTGTACGTTCTGACCTGTAAATAAATACCAACCAATATAATAAGATAGGTTGCCAGTCAATGAAATATATGCAATCAGCGGCTAAATATACAACCACATTTCTATGTGGGTGTATAAAAATAAACAGTTCATTACCTGATCCTGAACACAATCTATCAATAATATTAGCACCAGCTCTTAAATCAGATAACGAAAACTCATAAAATTTCGTCCAACCCTGAAAAAAACAACATTTACATAATTAATTAAAATTTTAAAAGCAAAATTGAGCAACATCTATATTGAGAAATTTTTGGGTGAAGGAGGAGAAATAATTAAATTACCTGAGGTATGTACATTCTTCTCTCTTGAACTACGGCATGGAACCAGGTCAAGGCAAACAACGCTTGAGCACGAACAACGCTTCCACCTCGACTGATATATTCTGGTGTCCACGTCTCATACGATCGCAGCAAATTCTTCTTCACACCAGGGGGAGCCTATAAATATAAAATCTTGCTTTTCACATTTCCAATTTACAGATTATTGACGTCATTTCAATAATGTAGAACAGTGCAAATATAACATATCTTGTCTAAAAATAAAATGTGAATTTATATTAGAAAACATCTTGTCTACAGAAATACAAGGAAAGTATCAAATCAGAAGTGACATCACGTGTTCTGCAAAGAATACTACAACATCTACTGATCTGATCCCATCCTCGGTATCCCCAGTCGTCTCATTCCATTCTACTCCACTATACTCTGGATTCATTCATTGGGTATTCAGGTATTCAAATTATCTGCCCTTGATCATAGCTTGATTCTACAACCCAATCATAAAATACCCGTCTTCATTAGCCCAGCATAGGAGCAGAACAGTAGGCTGTTAAACCCCATTTCATTTCATTTCATTTCCAATCATAAAATAGCTTACAAACCAGTCTTAGCCTTATTACTTACATTCATAATATGGCGGCTTGTTACTTCCCTTTGCCAACTTCCTTTGTATTTAACAATATTTTTTATTGGTCAATAAAAATAGCAGTCATCAAAGGCAGATAATTTAAATATGTGTCTCCCCCATGGATGAACCCAGGGGTTAGTGGAGTGGAACGGAATGAGACTACTGGAGACACCAGGATGATCTGGTCCTTGAAATGAGAAATGGTACACCCATAAAATCAGTCTAATTTCCCTGAAAACATAATTTCTGTAAACTGTTTTATTCATATTTTAAAGAAAATATTTAATTCAGTAAATATATGAACTGAAATGCTAGATGTGTGATGTCTCGTCCTATTTTATTATATAAATATCAACTGTGTTTGTCTTACCTCATATGTTATTTTTAGACTGGATTGGAGAAGTATCGTAGGAAATTTAGGGTGCACTTCTGTCGTTAACCATAAGCGGAAATCATTATGGGGTTTCAGTGAGTTTAATTCCTGAAAATCATCAACAATAATATATCATTTAATATTCCAATAAACATAAAGTGTTTGTTCCTCCTTTTCCTGTTTTTTTTCTTTTTTTCTTAGAAACTTGGAGAAATAGGGTTTAACATCCATGCAACACAAACTAGGTCATTTCGGGAATAACATATGGTTAAATTTCATTTCAATAATTCACTTGCGCATGGGATCTTTAGCAGTGGGAGGAAACCAACGGACCCGGAGAAATCCCATATGGTTGGACCGGCGACCATACTTCTTGTCATGTACAAAGAGAGAGAGAGAGGTTTAACGTCCACTTGACACAAGCTAGGTCGTTTTGGGACTAACATATGGTTTAATTTTATTTCAATAATTCGCTTGCGCGTAGGGGTCTTTAGCAGTGGGAGGAAACCGGAGGACCTGGAGAAAACCCACGAGGTTGGACAGGCAACCCTACTCCTTGTCACGTACAACCAGGGATTTGAAACCACGCCAGTTGACTCAATAACAGGCTTTATGATACAGCGCGCATGTGCTAACCATTCGGCCATCCAACCCCCCTTGTCATGTACAAGCGGGGAGTGTTGTAAATCAACTGATGGGGAAGTTCTCTAGCCAGTAAATAAAACTGCCAGTCAGTCGAGATTGACAAACATGATTAAAACTAGATCCCAGATTTAATTGTATATTACATGATGACCTAGTCTGCAGAATAAATGTTTTATTGTGTACCTTTTCTAACGATTGTAGCCAGGCTGTCACTAGATGTATATTCTTTAAACACAACCATTCTCCTTTTAGGGCACATTCTGATAATAACTGCATTGCTATCTCACTCTGACCTTGTCCCATAGCAACCTACAATACAAAAATATAACATAGCAACATCTGATATACCATAGCAAACCATAATATACTATAATATAAAACTAACTGACTTAAAAGTCATAGCCCATTATATAATTATCAGATATGAGAAGAAATAATATTATAAACACCATTTTCTAATTAACCCTTTATCACCTGATACATGTAAATATTGACTACTCCAGAGAGAGAGAGAGAAAAATGGGGTTAATGTCCACTCACACACTTGGTCATTTCGGGACTAAAATATGGTTCAATTTCATTTCAATAATTCACGTGTGCGTAGGAGTCTTTAGCAGTGGGAGGAAACCCGAGGGCCATAAGAAAACCCACAAGGTTGGATAGTCGTTCCTACTCCTTGTGACCTACAAGCTTGGAAATCTAAACAATTCCACTCAAACCTTATGATACAACGTGCACATGTTAACCATTCGGGCACCCAAGCCCTTAAACCACCAGCGATATGTGCATGTATTTCTGCATTGTTGTAAAATTTTGCATATGTTCACTCTATTAACATCTAAAAGCTTGTTCAGGGCCTGTGACAACAACATAACAGATTTTGGTTGGTAGTTTGATGGGTATTATATAGAAATCTCATATAGAACAACATGAAATGAAATGGGGGTTTAACTAGAACAACATGAAATGACCTAAACACTGTAACAAAATGTTGGTATAATCTCTGTTCATATCGGATGCTCATGGTAGCACAGCCTTTATTCATAAAATAGTAGGCAGTGACTTTTTATTTGCTTACCTGATGATATTTATCAAAACCGATTATCTCCGAGGCAAGTTCCTGTAGTTCCTGTGATGGATCAACACCAGGAGAGATGACCACAAGTATAGGTTCCGTGGACAATGTTTCCTGGTACAGTTTCTTCAGATTAACAGTTGGTGGGGATAATTCCTTCATTTCTAAAATATCGAAAGAATCAATTTATTTCTTAAATATTAAACCCAGAAAAACAATCAATTTAATTCTAAAATATCAAACCCCAAAAGAACTATCAATTTAATTCTAAATATCAAAGCTCAAAACACTATCAATTTAATTCTAAAATATCAAACCCTAAAAAACTATCAATATATTTTAATATAGAGAAAAATAATTTACTATGACAAGCCAATGATATGAGATATACTAAAGAAAAGTCCTTCTATTTATCAAAATAACTTTATGGCAACTTTCTTTCATAAATATGAGAAGGGGGAATTCTGCCCAGATAGCAACGTTTCCGTCTAATCTACTTCAAATTACAAAAATTAAAAATAACTACCTAGATGTATTTGGTAACAAGATTAACAAACAAAGACAACCTACCCAGACAATTACAAGCAAAGTGAGCCATGGCACTCTGTAGTCGATCAGGTCTCACTGCTTGTATTAATAACACTTGTTGAAATGCAGAGACCCGTTTTTCTACAGATGACGGGAACTCTAGTTCACACTGACTACTACGTGAAAAGTTGGACCATGTTGATCCGTCATCTAGATTCATATCGTTAAACAATTTAGGAAAATTGACCTGTAAATACAGAGCATTATTTTATATTCTTAACAAAAACATGAATTATGAAGATAAGTGTTTTGAATTCATAATGACTTCTAATTGATTATTTCTCATTTTATATTGATATTTTCATTTTTCCATATTGTGTATATATATTGTCACTGTAATATGATTGCCATTCTTTGCTTGATAATGAAACGTTGCCAGAAATAAGTTTTTACGTAACTTTCATTCTATATAATTGTGTCATGATGTTACTTTCAAGCTCCTTGAGCAACCTGCACCCATGTGTCTGTAAATTTCCTTCCTATTTCTCTTACTGCCGTAGGTTTGTTGCATGCACAATTCATCCAAACAATTGGGCACACTAAACTCACACAACCATCATATGGGTTTGTTGTCTGGGAGCAGGACATTTTCCCCACAGACAACAGAGATGGAAACTCGAGTTCGACTTAAGACCCGACTTGAAATATGCTTCACAACTAGAGACTCGATTCAGTCTTGACAGTCGTGATAACTCACGATCTGAAAGGGCAAAGGACTCGAGTCGCAATGAGGGGACATAACTCTGATTTGCCATATTAGCCATGGCCTCGCTGGTCTTGCAAAATGAATTGCTGATGACTCATCATTTGATGAACTTGAGACTTGAACAGGGCTTTGTGAAGACTCAGTACTCGACTTGGTACTAAAGTCAGTGACTTGAGACTCGAATCAGACTTGAGTTCACATGACTTGTTCCCACCTCTGGTGTATGAAAACAATAAGACTTGCTGAAACCTTATGCTACATGCATAATTAACCAGTGATTGTATTCTATAAAACTGAGTTTTTAATGTGCTCTATGGCTAATTGCCAATCAAAGCATAAACTAAACCTGGACAATAAACAATCCTCATAATTGGTCTTTATATTTACAGTTATCTATTAAACTTTATCATCAGGTGAACTTTACCTTAAAAGCAGCGATAGCCTGTCCTCTTTCCTCCTCAACCCAAGATGGTCGTGATCTGCTGCTATCTGCCTTAACATCTGCTACTAGCACACCGGTAAAGGCCTCCCATTCCTTCAAAGATAATTTACATATGAGATTAGAAAATAAAATGAAATTTAACGTCCCACTGTTCTACACCGACTGGGCTAATGAAGATGGGCATACACCATACAGTGTGCTATGACTGAGGGAAATTTTGCCAAGACAGCTGCATGATGACCTACTCTTTTATTAGATTATCAACTTCCAAGGCATCTTTTATGTGTACACTGGACTCCGGTTTTTCGTCCCATCCAAACACCTTGCCAGGCACTCCATCCTACCCCACTGACAAGGTAAAACCAGGCCGGAAAATCCCGATGAACTTTCTCAGTCAACACAGGGATCAAACCCGGGACCTCTATGTTAGCGAGCCAACGTTTTACTCACTGAGCCAATGTGGCTCCCTCACAATAGTTCATGGAGGCTTGATGTATCGTCAATACAAACATATTATGGTAATCTACATTTCTATGGTTACAGCATAGTACAATTAAAATCATTATTTTAACGCCTGTATTTGCTCAGATGACTTACATTTTCTTGGAAGAGTTTTGGTTTCATTCCGTGAACCATGTGAACAGCGAACATGAGACGATCTTCTTTAAACAATGACTGACAGACATATTCATACACCATGACTTGTAATCTATATACCAGATTCTTGATACGGGTTTCTGTTCCACTTCCATCCTATAATATTACACACAAAACATGTATTATTACAAACAATGGTATATACAATATGTGTCATCCTCGATTATCCTCAATGGCACTTAGTTACAGGCATTTTTATCAATCAAATGGAGAAGGAGAGAGAGAGTTTAATGTCCACTCGACAAACTTTCAGGACTAACATATGGTTCAATTTAGACAGGCGGCCCTACTCCTTGTCACGTACAAGCGGGAAATCAAAGCATCGTCACTTGTGTTAATGACAGATCTAATGATGCAAGTCGCTTACGTTAACCATTCGGCCACTTGAGTCAATGACAGATCTAATGATGCAAGTCACTTGCGTCAACCATTCGGCCACCCAACCCCACAAATGGAGCAGGTGGGTGATCATGTGGCTTGTTAGATCACAAGGTCTGTCAATGAGTAAAGTGGCGGGGTTTTGATTCCTTGCTTGTATGTGACAAGGAGTAGGGTCACCTGTGGAACGTTGTGGCTTTAATCCAGATCCATCTTGAACAGATTATTACGACAATACGACTAAGACTAACATGCTAGATTTGCTACAATTGAAGATAGAAAGTAAATAAAACTTACATGTTGAGTATGTAACGCTCTCTGGAATATACGAAGGAACGCAGCCAGACTAAATCGATACATATTGTTAATTTTAGCCAGATCACTGATGACAAAAAACAGACAACTTCCACTTTCTGCTAATGGTAAATATGTATTCCTTTCCTTTATGAAAAAAAAACAACAAATATTTTACAAAATACATATTCAGCTGTATTACAGTGAGACAGGTTTTTACATAGGCTGCTATGTCTGTCCCCCAATCTCATTCAGATATCCTGAATTAAGATATTGTAGAAAAATAAAATAATAATATTACTAAAATCAGTGATATTATAATGAAATTTACATATATGTATTCATAAAATGTTGGAGGTTCTTAAACACAAAATTTGGAATCCAATAAAACGTATAACTTTTCACATGATTTTGAAAAATAACTACAACTATAGCAAATCATAACATTTTCTTGACACAACCAGAATACAAGAAATGAAATGGGGTTTAACGTTCTACCAACCAAAATACAACCTTCCAGATTAGGCACCTTATGATGGTGGCATCAAACCTAACAAACAGCAAACCTACATGTATCACATGCTAGACCCTATCAATTACTGATATTTATTTGTGTAACCAGCACTATAATATAATGATGATCAGTGATCAGATGGAATTATTTAAAGATACATTATGGAAGAGCTTAATTTGCCTATATATTGCTGGTCTTTTTTCTGGCTTCAAATGTTATATAAATTATTATCTGGCCATGGGTTTAAATAACAACGCCATAAACATTTCTTTAGACCATCGAAAGGCTAAGACATTGAATGGGTTAGACCATAAGTGCCATATAAACATTTGACATAAAATTGAATGTACCTCAATAAATGAACAGACAATGAAGACTTTGTTTATTATCATGGAAATGTTACATGTAAAAACTTCACTTATACCTTTGGTCAGAATAAAGTTACTGGATAGAAATTTTCAATATATTCATTTTTCATTATCTATTTTGGAACTATAATTATAGCAAGAAGGACCAGCTCTATATTGAAATCTTACGTAATGCATCTTTAAATAAAGTAACGATATACTCACCTGATCGAGTGATGACTGTAATCTGACAGATTCCGTCAAGCTATCTGATATAGTTATACTACTAGCTTTCGTCATATTTAACGAATCTAATAATTCTTTATTCTCTAATATATTTCCTTTAGCGTTGGCTAGCTCCTAGAATACAAGTAAAATAAGCAACATAACTTATATAATAACTTAAACACATTTAATATGTCATATTGTATAAACGCAAAATATAATAAGCAAGTTTAATACAAAAGTTATATGTATATTAACCTACTGAAATATAAATTTACATTGCAGCTGAGATATAGAGAGGAATAGGTTTTAACATTCAATCAACACAAACTGGGTCATTTTAGGACTAATATATGGTACAATCTTGTTTCAATAATGCGCTAAAGGGTCTTTAGTATTCTGAGGTAACCAGAGGACTCAAAGAAACGCGCATGTTGAGAAAGCAACACTTTCTCTTGCCCACTTGACAGAGCAACCAATTTATGAGTGAGATTTATACCCTGTTTATTGGCAACCCCAACTAACCTCTAATAAGGAATCTTCTAATTTGGCCAGTTGTATTTTCAGGTCTTCTTCTTGTTTCAGTAGATCAGTTTTCTTCACCTCAAGTTCAGGTTTTTCATGTTGAATTGTTATCGCAAGAAGCTAAAATGAAAAAATGAAATGATATGAAATAGGGTTTAATGTCTTACTGTTCTGCTCCAATTGGGCTAATGAAGACGCACATATGCTATACAGTGTGCCACAAGGGAAATTTAGTGGTTACTTTTATAAATAGATGAATCAATATGTGATCATTTAACAGAACCTACCTGTCCAGTAAAACTGGCTCTTGTAAAATTGAACTAGAACCTACCTGTCCAGTAAGACCAGCTCTTGTAAAATTAAACTAAAACCTACCTGTCCAGTAAGACCAGCTCTTGTTGTTGTAAAATTGATCTCAGTGATAACAGATGCAGCATCTGGTGGAATCTCTGGACTTGGATTACGTGTTGTCAAAAATAAACGGAACTCCTCATTATAATCTATTGTCTTTTCACCAATCTGTACAACATATCTTGGTCCTGTTTTTATAGTTATATGCATTACAAACTTTTAATACAAACTGTCATTGATATTTAATACCCCAAAAGTCGACTCCATTTTTATAGATTAAAATTATAGTGTCAATCTACTTAAGTTTAAGGGGCCATTGTGTGTTCAAATGAATAACAAACTGATTGATCACGAAACACCATTCACGCCTACGGACTAAGACAATGTTTTACATATTTCCGTTCAACATTAATTTATCATTTTCTGCATGCAGTGTCTTTCCATGTTCACGGTGACAGCCAATTATAAAATATTTCTGTTCATAATTCAACATGCGTTAATCATTTTCTATCCGAAGTGTCGTTCAACATACATACTCACGCACTTTGTTTGAATGTAAATGTCAAAAGTTTGTGTGGTCTATAACTTTGTGATGTTAAAATTCTAGATCCACAGATAGACTCAACTTTGAGATATAATTAACTAGCTTGACCCCGCGGCTTGTCTGGGGCCGAAGATCTGCTTATTCACCAGCTTACTCATAAGTTTTCCCGCAAGTTTACATAATCCGTTACTATTAAACTTAATTACATCTTGTTACAGTCTAACATTGATTGTTGGCTGTGTTAATTAAACCAATAAATAATCTTGTCCATCATAAATCATGGCCTAAAACATTCACAGGGTCATGCTGGGGATGGAGTGTAGCGATGAAGCGTGATGTGCGAATATACACACATTGATTTTATTTATATAGATTTAGCAAACCAGAGAGTGAATGGCAACACTCCCTTACAGAGTAACAGAGGCTGGACTGTCCGATAGATCTGTGCAGCTGCTGAATCAAACAATGATGTTGGCAGAGAGAGTAAACATTAATATATAAAAATCCCCACACAACAGCAGTACAAAAACAGACTTGGGGATTATCTAATAATCATTTCAACCTGGAATGTTATGAAGATCAATAATCCACCTATTTTTTCAACCTAAGTCTGTTTTTGTACTGCTGTTGTGCAGGGATTTTTAAGTAACTATCATATAACTATTTTTACCTTGTGCTGTTAGATCTCCTCTGAGTAATGGGTATAAGACTGGTTCGATACCATCTACTTCCTGTATAATTAAAGTTTTACCAAATCTAACAGCCAACTCTAACGCTGTATTAAAATTAGCATCCTAGAAGAAAAAATAAACAAGTTTCAAAATTCAAGATGTATTACATCATTGTGAAAAATAAAATATCTTATTGTTCAGAAGAGCATATTGTCCCGAATGTTCATAGACCATATATGTGAGCTACAGCCGCCCTTGTCCATAAATGAGAAACCATCAGGGTCCATTTTTATTTTAGCAGTGGGAGAAAATTGGAGGAAATCCATGAGGTTGGACAGGCAACCATATTCCTTGTTATGTACAAATGGGAAGTTGAAACCATTGACAGACCTTGGAATCTAACACTTTAATCCATTCTGCAACCCAACTTGCCTGCCCCCTCCCCCACCCAATCCGTGAGATGTGAACTATGTCTAAAGATCAAATTTGTCTGATATCTCTTCTCTTACGCACCTGTTGATTGACAACCTCTAAACGACTTTCCTTTAAATGATTTTTTAACCAATCAGTAGCTCGAGATGATGGATCAACGAGAAATGGACGCAGTGAACTCTGAAATAAAAAAAGATTTAAACATGTTTTATATTATTTCTAGGTAAATGAAAAGCAGTGAATTTAAACAATAAAACAACACTGAAACATGCACAAACAATATTTTTTTTGATAAATTACATATTGAATATTGGTTGTAGACAAGCCTGTAAAAAATTGTCACATTGTAAGGCACAAATTTTGCCAGAGTGTCGAAGACAAAACGTCATGGTTTCTTTTATGTTCACACCAATGTGTACATCTGGGTGACTAAATGCCTTTCCTTGTAAGCCACACTGGAAAATTCAGAAAAACTAATTCAGCGAACACTGGGACATATCTGGGGAAGTCCTGGCTAGTGAGCCAGTGCCTTATTCACTGAGCCACCTCATCTCCATATAATAATGATAATTACAGTCTGAATGATAAATAGATGATGAGTACAGTCTGAATGATAAACATATGATAATTACACTCTGAATAGATGATAATTATAGTCTAAATGATAATAAACAGTCTGAATGATAATTACAGTATGAACAATAATGTATGTGCTATATATAACAAAGAACATGAAGCTGTGACACCAAATAACAAAAGACATGTAGATAAGAGGTGCTCGATGGTCAGTCAGGAATTATAATAGAGTAACATGGAACTCGGATACATCATAATCCTGAAAACAGATGTGATGTGAGCAGAAATGTGATGCTTGTTGAAATGAAATGAAATTTAGTTTAAAGTCCTGCTGGGCTAAGGGAGACGAGCATACAACATTCAGTTTGCTATGAGGGGCATTTTGCCCAGACAGCGGCGCAACAGCCTACTTATACTCTTATATCGAATGTCAAATGTTAAGGGTTCTTTTATGTGCATGTTGAGTTGTATATGAGACCCCTGTTTTTCGTCCAATCCAAAACTATAACTGAAAATGTCAAATGCTGTTTAAAACATGTAATCAAACATTTCATGTGATTGGTTAACACTGCATCATATTCGATTAGTTGTTGCATGACATGTTGCTAGTAATTCTTGAGATTGAGATAATTGTATTTTAGAATGTTGAATAGCGTATACCGAATCAGATCTACCTGTGGACCTACATGCAGCAAAACAGACAGTGCAAATATCAAGATACAGATTCTACAGACTCCAAAATAAAAACCTATTTCATTTTAAGGACAAAATTTTGTTTGTAGGCAGGAGAGAGAGAGAGAGAGAGAGAGAGAGAGGGAGAGAGAGAGAGAGTAATTTGTTGCACAATTTTTGTCTGTGGGAGGAAACCATTGGACCTTGAAAAAACCCATGAGGTTATGCAGACAGCCCTTCCATGTCACCGGTTAAAGACTCTAAAACAGACCTTATGACCTAAAGCGCATGGCTTAATCCACTCATCCACCTCAATTTAAGGATAACATTTTTAATGAAAGAGTCAAGATATTCTCTTTAAAAAGGCTTAAAGTTAAAATCAAGTAACATAAATCTTCTGAAAATAGTAAATTGTTTACAAATCTTCACAGGATAATTGTTAAACATTATTTTAAAAGAGCAATAAAACTGACAAGGGATTTCCACATCACACAAATCTGACATATTAGATTTACTTCATCAAAATAAAATAAAACCTGCTTTTTAACATGCCAGCACACTGACATTGAAGCAATTCAAAAATATTATATTCGTCATCAAAAACAAAATAAAAGTCTATTTTCTTTTCTAATGTTTGAATGGTTATGAATCTGTTATGGTTGGGTAGGGGGAAATAAGGGAACATAGCAAATTGAAAGGGAAGGACAAAAAGGGAGGTAATTTCAAAAAATGAGAAAAGGTAGAGGGTAAAGGAAGGATTGCACTGAACAATGAACATGGCTCTGAAATAAAACTGTAAAACAGTGTTGGTGTTATGTTGTAATTAAAGGGTGTTCAAAATAAAATATTTTAGAAAAAAATAAAATAAAAAGCTGCAAAACATTCATTTTAACTGATATATCTTACCCCAACATCTAACGTATTGACCTGACAGTGTTCATAAAACAAATATTAATTATTAAACGAAAACAAGTTTATAGGATTTATCAAAATGTCAAAGGTTATTCAGACCTTGATCTTCATCTATTTTTGGAAGTATGTCAGCTTGTGTCAAATGGATCCGCTTACTAAACAAAGGCTGCATGTCTACAGTTAGCTTCGCTTGAGAACAGATACTAAGCTAGTTGACCGACATTTTGATTCCTATATCGATGATTTTAGTCGAAAACACTAAGTTTATTCGAGAATTCCGATTCCATCTAATAAAATTTAAAAATTTATTTCATCTTTGTGTTCATGACCAATGTGAAATTAAGTAGAACCACACTAGAAAACAGGATACTAATTTTTGGATATGGCCGCCATTTAGAGCAGAGATCTATTCTCTTAGTTTGAAGTAGATGGTTCTCTGTGTGCAGAATGGTTAGGGTCCATGTTAAATATCTGTCTATCATGGGTATTGTTTACGTTTCCAGACCCCAATGAACATTTGAAGCACACAGATCGGTGCAGTTTGACCGAGGTCAGCGCTTTCACAATTGACAGTTCAGTATAAATCTGACCTGGAACGATCAAGATTAAACAGATAATATTAAATGCAAGGGTTACTAACAAAAAAAAATCTAAGGTCTTTTTAAAACTTTGTATGTTACATTACTGACCTGTAATATAACGAGAGCATTTTCCATGGACAAATCATCCGATGGAAGACCTTCACTTTTCCAGATGAGTTGTTCACTTTCCGTACTTAGGAAACGTCGCATATCAAACTTGGTCACACCTAGAGAGTCCATCCAATTTTGAATAGTTTGACGTCGAACGTCCTCAGGGGCTGAAGACAAGTAGGTTATAAAAGCAGCCCCTAATAAAGCCTTTTTAGGTAGTTCATTTAATTCTCCTGATAATTCTCCAACCTATAAATAAAAACAATCAGTCATTATCATCCTGCGTAAGTGAATACCAAACACTAAGAGGAATTTGTTTCTGAAGAAACACAAACTACTATAATAGGTTGATGTGCGTACAAAGTTTCATAAAGAGATATCTTGAATGGTTTATAAAATATGCACCAGAAACAAACACATATCATTACAACTCGGGTATAATTTAGCAGGAGTTTCAGTATTTAATGTTTTTAAACCATTGTTGGAAAACTGTTCAAA